GCTTGTCTGAGGGACACCCAGGACAAACAGAAATGCCAGCCCCAGGATTAAAGATCCTGGTAAAAATAATCCCAAACAATGAGGCCATGCCCCCCCGATGGAAAAGATTTCATGAGGTAATATTAACAGGTAAAAGAAGCGCACTTATTAATGAAAATGGAATTGGTAAATGGAGGCATCCTACACAGCTAAGTGTACATAGGGGTTAATAGTGTAACAGTCCAGCCTGTTAGTCTGGTATGCTCTCTCTCTTTCTATCTGTCTCTATCTCTCTGCAGGTTTTAAAGGGCCCTCATCTGTGTACACCAACAAACAGCAGGTACAGGGTCCTCAACACCAGGACAGCAATGGAACAGATTAAGGTCACACGTAAATATATGTGAAGCGGTTTTGCACAGTGGAAGCTTTAATTAAGAATTTTGCTGAAATTAATGTGAGTATGAAAATGCTAATCCTCTGTGGGCTTCTGATCCCATCAGAGGCTGACAGGTGAGTGGAGAAGAGAGAATTGAATGTGAATACCTTTTTAAGCTATCTTACATATTTACAAGAAAGCATAACTCGCCCAGTTGCTGGGTCTGTACACATATTCCCATACATTCGAATGGAGGGATACCCCTGCAACCCAACCCCTTCAATGCCTCAGAACTAGCCGAATGGACATTCCAACAGAATAGCTCAAAACAGGGAGATAGAGCTGGGCACTCTACCGATGGTGGGAAATAATTAGTGAATACTGACCTAGATAGGACACAATGGGGAAGGGAGACCTGACCCGTCTGACAAGGGTTGAAAATAAGGATAAAGGGATGCTCATGTGATTTAGTAACCGTACCCAGAGTAATAATGTCTCCACATACCCTCTCCCTGCACCCATCTGTGTGTTCTTCCAAACCCAGGAATTCCTAAACCCGTCTTTCCTCACACTGAGTGGTCCTAGCCTGCTGACCTTTGAGAACTTCATAAGTAATGGAACATTCTAACAACACTGGAATATCACCCAATTCACCCCATACAACGGCATCTACTTTATGTGTGGACACAGAGCCTGTGCCTGGCTACCCCGAACCTGGACAGGGTCGTGCTACTGGAGCTATGTGGTATCATTCATTGCTCACACATTGTCCCTCCAGAAGGAGGCGCCAAAATGATACAAACGTGTTATCTCAGGGGCAGGTAGACACTTCACCATGTTCTTACCCTGGCATGGTCACCAGAGAATCTATCAACATGGCGCAGTCTTTGAACAAGTGGCCAATGACACATCACGAGCTCCAGGCAAGATAAATGCAGAAATGGTCACCATATGAACCATGGCATTGCAGAACTGAATTGCCCTCGACATGACATTCACCAAGAAAGGAGGAACATGCGCACTCATCGGAAAAGAGTGCTGTACGTACATCCCCGATAACTCAGAAGCAATTACTGATCTGGCCGACCGCATCCTAAAAGAATTGAATGAACTCATCCACCTTCAACCCTATGGAGCCAGATGACAGGGTGGATGGGATGTCCATTGTACAGGGAACAGTAATGTCTGTTGTAGCACTATTCCATGTTAAATTTTTTATCATCTTGTAAAATGCATTACAACCACAATAGCGAAGAAGATGACTGTAGAAGAGCCATGGACCAAGGGAGTGGCCCTACTATGCACCACCAAACCAACAGGCTACGACAAAAGGAAATTACCAGCTCATTGAACAATGAAAAGAGGATCATTGACACAATGTCGCTGGGCGAAGACTACTCTTGGACTTTGATCTGGACTCTTGAACTTTAGATTTATGGACTCTGATTTGGAATTAAGTACAGTGAAAAGCTTTATTTATGAGCAGTACAGGAAGATCATAGTAAGCAAGGACATACAGATCATAGGGAGAAATAAAAAGCTTACACAGAGGCATAGGGTACATCGCAGAGGGCATGTGTTGGCAAGATCAGCATTATTTGAAGTGAGAGAGGTCCATTTATCAGTTTAATGACAGCTGGGAAGAAGCGGCTCCTGAACCTGCGGGTTCGTGTGTTCAAGCTTCTATATCTTCTGCCTGATGGAAGAGGTTGTAGAGAGCATTACTGGAATTCAATAGGTCTTTGATGTTGGCCGCCTTTCTGCAGCAGCGAGCCATGTAATTGAAGTCCATAGATGGAATGTTGGCTTCTGTGATGGTCTGGGCTGATCAAACCACCTTCTATAGTTTCTTATGGTCCCGGGCAGAGCACTTGCCATACCAGGCCGTTATGCACCTGCACAGTATGCTTTCAATGGTGCAGCTGTAAAAGCTGGTGAGGGTCCTTCTGGTCATGCCAAATTTCCTCAGCCGCCTGAGAAAGAAGAGGTGTGGTTGTTCCTTCTTGACCATTGCATCTACATGTGAAGTCCAGGACTCATCTCCAGCATACCCCACCCCACAAGTATATTAGTCCCCTTCCAATTCAGGTATAATCCATCCTCCTTGTACAGGTCACTTCTACCCCAGAAGAGATTCCAATGATCCAAAAATGTGAATCCTTCTCCCCTACATCAGTTTCTCAACCATGCATTCATCTGCTCTATCCTCCTATTCCTACTCTCACCAGCTCATGGCATAGGGAATAATCCAGATATTACTACCCTTGAGGATCTACTTTTTAAATTCCTGCCTAATTTCCTATATGCTCTCCTCAGAATCTCATCCTATGTCGTTGGTACCAATGTGAACAACGACCTCCTGCTGATCCCTCTCCCCTTTGAGAATATTCTGCACCCTCTCTGAGATATCCTTGACCCTGGCACCAGGGAGGCAACACACCATTCTGATGTCTCGTTGGTGGCCACAGAAACTTCTGTCTGTGCCTCTGCCTAGAGAGTACCCTATCACAATTGATCGCTTAGAAGCTAAAGTAGCCCCCATTGCAGTAAAGCCAGTCTTGGCACCAGAAACCTGGCTGTCAGTGCTACATCCCCCTGAGAGTCCCTCATACCCTCCACTTTCCAAAATGGTACACTTGTTTGAGACGGGGATATCCACAGCAGACTCCGGCACTACCTGCCTCCTTCTCCTACCTTTTCTGGAGGCAATCCATCTCCCCGACTGTGTCTTTAGTTTGTTTCTGTACGTGTGTGTGTCTGTGTGTATGTGAATATCTGTGTGTACCTGTCTCTAAGTGTCTTTGACTTGCTGTGAGTGGCGCATTGACGGGGGCGAGGTGGGGGCTGTAGGACGGGCTCCAATAGAGGCAGCCCCCTCTCCTCAGCCCATTTTCTCACCACTCTCAGTCATTGATGGTCAGCCCCATCGGGAAGAAGCCCCTCCCTGGATGGTGTTGACTATGGAGTTACACCACCCCTCCCCACGGAAAGTGAGAAATATTCAACAAGTCAGTCTAACTCCTTGGGGGATATGAGGTGAGGCTGGACCATAAACAAACACGTTGGAACTTCCAACACAGTGACTGATGACTTGCATATGGATCACATTTTAAGGATTACTGAACATTGATTGTTGGGTCAGATTCAGACACATATTGAGCCTCAATTTACATGAGTGTCACCACAGGATGCATTGGATAGTTTCCACCTCTTCTTCAGAAGGTTCTTGTAAATACAGAGGGATCTCCTCACATCCAAGCAAGTGCCTTGCACTCATCCCTCCTCCAGCAGCGATGGCCTGCATCAGCGCCAGGATCCCAAGGAGAAAAGGCAGCCCCTTCCTCATTCTTTTCCCTTCTCCTCACAGACACAGTGAGCTCCTGGAGCACAGGCGCTCATTATAAACACACACAGCACACTGTAGTTCATCATTCCCCAGGCTCATTGAAATTGGCCACACCTTGGAATGGTTAAAGGGACAGTTCACTCACTAAGAGCAGCAGGAACTGGGAGCAAAAACCAAGTGTGAAGTTCAGGTCTGTTCTTTAATAATCTCACGCTCGCAGTTTAGGATTAGCCAGACCTCAGATTCAAATGTGCTTTAATCAGAGAGAGGTAGGGTCATGTTGATACCTCATTGGTCCTACACCAGAGACCCTCACGAGATCATACCTTACTACCAACGTCCTGATCTTTTTTTTAGTTCATTCATGGGATGAGGGTGTCACTGGCTAGGCAGTATTTATTGCCCATCCCTAATTGCCCAGAGGGCAGTTAAGAGTCAACCACATTGCTGTGGGTCTGGCATCACTTGTAGGCCAGACCAGGTAAGGATGGCAGTTTCCTTCCCTAAAGGACATTAGTGAACCACCTGGGTTTTTCCCTGCCAATTGACAATGGATTTATGGTCATCATTGGATTCTTAATTCCAGATTTTATTGAATTCAAATTCCACCATCTGCCATGGCGGGATTCGAACCCGGGTCCCCAGATTAATACTCCAGTGATAATACCACTGGGGATTTCTCGTCCCACCAGTAGGAAAGGCTAACCCAGTTGGGAAGGTAAAGATGAGAGGGATTGGAAAAAAGATGGGAATGAAATGGAGCAACAATGAACGAAGGAGTTAATTTTCTGGGCGGTGTGTATTTGGGGGCACGGAGAGGGTAGTTTGGCCTGGCTGACCATGATCACGTTGTATTCTTTGATAACGTTCCTCACTGTCCCACTTTACCACCAGCTTTGGTGTCGTCCGTAAACTTCCTAACCACGGTTCCTATACTCTCATCTAGTTGTTTCTATAAATGACTACAACAGTGGACCCAGCACTGATCCTTGTGGCACACCACTGCTCACAGTTTTTCCAAACACTCTGCCCCTACATTCTTTAAAATAGACTCTTTATATTTTCACAATACCAGACTGAAACTAACCTCCCTATCATTGACCCATTCACCCCTTCATCGGCGAGGGCTGTAACATTGGCTGTTTTCCCGATCCCCTGGGACTTTCCCTGAAATCTGAAGATCCCTTTGAATGAAACTTCTGCAGACTGTCCCTGCCCATTAGCCTCAGCATCCCCTCCTGCAACCACTGAGCAAGGAAGATCCCATTTCACAGAAGCAAGACATAGAGACAGAACGGAGACAGAGGGCTGACAGTTTTATTGCGAGGGGGGTGGGGAGCATTAGGCAGAGATTGGAATGGGGGTGCTGGGGTTGGGCTCTGGGACAGAGAGAATTGCACATCTACCCCTCCTCGCCCTCCATCTCCCAATTACACCGAGTCAGTCCACATTTTCCCAGTTGGGATCCCGGGCGGTCAGGTCCCACTTGCTTCTCCATCAGGGATAACAGCAATTGGAATTGTCATCACAAAATGCTATCTCTGTTTTGTAGCTGGGGGCACAAGTTGTCATACTGCATGTCCCGCCGATGTATTCACACTTCCATGTGCGTGTCTCTGAAATTCAGAAGCGGACAGGGTTAGAAATGGCACTGGAACTAGACAGGGGTAAATGTAGGAAGCATGTCAGCAAAATTTCCCATTGTTTGAGAGAGGGAAAGTTGGGTCTAAGTCTGGTGTGTTAAACTAAATCCAGGCAGGGTATGAATGATTCAAGACAGCACTGGTGAGGCTATTCCTGGAGTATTGTCTGTACCATTTCGGTCTCCTTATCTGGGGAAGGACATTCTGGCTATGGAGGGAATGCAGCAAAAGTTTCCCAGATTGATTCCTGGGAAGGCAGGTCTGATGCATGAAGAGAGACTGGAGCTGTTAGGACTACATTCATGGGAGTTTAGAAGAATGAAGAAGGGGATCTCATGGAAACTCATAAAATTCTAACAGGGAAAACACAGGAAGGATGTTACTCATGACCCAGGAGTCCAGAACCAGGGCCCAGAGTCTAAGGATACTGGTTAGATTGTTTGGGACTGAGATGAGGAAAAATATCTTCCCCCAGAGAGTGGGGAGCTTATAGAATTCTCTGCCACAGAAAGCAATCGTGGGCAAAACATTGAATGTTTTTGAGAATGAATTAAATATAGAGTTAGGGACTAAAGGGAGAGAGTGGGGGAGAGGGGACTGAGTTGGACGGTAAGCGATTATCAGATTGAATGGGGGAGCAGGATCAAGGGGCCAATTGGCCTATTCCAGATGTGATTGTCTCTGTTTCTGCAGGGCAGAGATATAGCAATGGACCAGCAGGAGTCTGCTGACCACCTCTCACTTAAACTCAGGAACAGCAAGGCTTGGTAGGTCTTTGAAAATATTGAGTGACTCGAGGCAACTCACCCTTTATCCACCAAGGTGTAGAGTTTAAGGCCAGGGGAGCGTGAAGCCAGAATGGTATAAACCGTTGGTTAGGTCACACAGTGGATTATTGCGTGCTGTCCCAGAACCCACATTATTTGGAGGAATGTGATAGCACTGGGAGAGAGAGTGCAGAGGGAGAGTTTGGACAGACTGGGGTTATCTTTCTCAAAGCAGAGGAGATTGAGAGGGGCATGCAATGGAGAGGTATAAAATTGTGAGAGGCCTAGATACAGCAGACAGGAAGAAACCTTCCTCCCCTGATGGAAAGATCAATGACCAGGGGGCTATAGATTTGAGGTGAGGGGCAGGAGGTTTAGATGGGAATATGAGAAAAAAATGTTCCCACCCAGAATGTGGTGGGGAATCTGGAATCACTGCCTGTGAGGGTAGGAAAGACAGAAACCCTCATCACACTGAAGAAGGGTTTAGGTATGCACTTGCAATGTCACGGCTGTGGGCCAAGTGCTCGAAAGTGGAATTAGAGAATAGTGAGGTGGCTGTTATTGACTGGTACAGACTTGATGGGCCGAAGAACCTTTTTTTTGCTGTAGATCTTACTTTTTCTGACACACACACACACACACACACACACACAAAAAATGCAGACATATATGGACACACACAGAATCACATACTACCGTCCCAACACAAACACACAGAAACAAGCACACACAGAGACAGTGACACACAAATATGCGCAGGGAGACACACCGACTGACAAACGTAAATATGATGTGGAGGTGCCAGTGTTGGACTGGGGTGGACAAGGTCAGAAATCACACGACACCAGGTTATAGTCCAACAGGTTTATTTGAAAACACAAGCTTTCAAAGCCTTACTCCTCCTTCAGGTGTTAGTGAGAGAGGTATCAGACACAGAATTGAAAACTAAACATCACAGGATCACACCACTAATGAGGATGTATTACACAAACCTAAGATGCTGTTAAATCTTTAATCAGTTAGAAGGTTTTAATTGATCAATATGTATATGTAAATCCCTAAATCCCTCTAAATGACTGCACTGAGGGAACTAAAGGTTTTATCATGTGTAAAGAGGAGGTGATATTTTAGGACAGACAATGTATGTTAGGTGTGAGGCTTTGTTTAGAATGTTTGTGTTTTGGTTTGGAGTCAGATTGATTTTATTTTGAAAGTAGGAATTTATTAAACACCACATTGGCTGACTGTCTACAAACTGTGTACATTTTGAACAAAATAGAATGTATCTGCAAATGCAAGTTCACCCCATAGATTCATGTGTATGTGTGTGTGTACGTGCTCGTGTGCATGCGCAAGAGAGACTATGTGTGTGTATACGTGTGCATGTGTGTGTACTTGTGTGTGTTTGTGAAGGTGGGGGAAGAGTGTGTGCGTGTGCGTGTGCGTGTGCGCGCTTGAAGACAGTGTGAGTGTGAGTGAGAATGAGAGTGCGTGTGTGTGTGAGAGTGTGTATAGAGTGTGGTGGGGCTACCTGTAGTGCAACATGAACCCAATATCCTGGTTGAGGCTGTTCTCATGGGGACCAAACTTGACTCTGTGTTGTTATGTATCCCAAAGTCCACCTTGGAGGACGTTTAACAGAAAATCGAGGCCAAATGTCTTTGACAGCTCAAGTGTTCCCGACTGGGAGGGAACATCCCTGTCTGGTGATTGTTGCGCAGTGTCCATTCATCTGTTGTCGTAGCATCTGCATGGTTTTGCCAATATACCATGCCTCGGGGCATTCTTGCCTGTATGAGATATATAACTCAGCCAACGTTGTCTGAGTATCTGCTGTGAACGTGGTGGTGTTGCCATGTGTGACGGTAGTATCCATGTCGAAGATCTGACATGTCTTTCAGGGCTTACCATGACAGGGTTGGATAGTGTTGTGGTTCATGTAGTCCTGATGGCTGGGTAGTTTGCTGCAAACAATGGTCTATTTAAAGTTTGACAGTTGTTTGAAGGTGAGCAGTGGAGGCGTCGTGAAGATCTTGGCAAGGTGCTCATGGTCATCAATAATATGCTGAAGGCTACGAAAACATGGCGTGGTTTCTCTGTTTCCGGGAAGTACTGGACAATGAAGGGTTTCCCTATCAGTCATATCCTGTATCTGTCTTCTGAGGAGGTCATTACAGTTTTTCGCTGTGGCATGTCTGAATTGGTGATTGATGAGTTGAGCATTGTATCCCGTTCCTATGAGGACGTCCTTCAACACCTTCAGGTGTCTGTAGCATTCCTCCTCGTCCAAACAGATCGTGTGTATTGGTAGGGCTTGTCTGTAGGGAAAGGCTGTTTTAAAATGTTTAGGGTCAAAACTAGAGATGTGAAGCATCATGAGGTTATCCGTAGGCCTGCCTTAGATTGAGGTATTGAGGTGTCCGTCCCTGATGGGGATGCGTGTGTCCAAGAGTGAGATTGATTGTAAAGAGTAGTCCATGGTAAGTCTCGTGGTGGGGTGGAACTTGTTGGTATCTCTATGTAGTTGTTCAGTGATTCCTCAGCATGAGTCCAAAGGAAGAAAATATCATCAATGTCTCTGTCTCTGGTGTATAGTGTTGGTCAGAGGTTCTGTGCAGCAAAGAAGTCTTGTTCAAACCTGTGCATGAAAATGTTGACACGTTGGGAAGCACATGTGGTTCCGCATGACTGATCCGTGTGTCTGGATGAAGAAGTGGCTGCTGAAGGTGAAGATGTTATGGTCAAGGATGAAGCGGATGTGTTGTCGGATGGCGTCTGGAAATTGGCAGTTGGTGGTATTAAGTACTGAGGCTATTGCAGCAATGCTGTCATCATGGGGGATGCTGTCGTAGAGTGCTGAAACCTCCATTATGATGAGGAATTTTCCTGGTTTGATTGGTCTGTGGGTGCCAAGTTTCTGTAAGAAATCTGCAGTGTCGTGACAGAAGCTGGGTGTTCCCTGTACAATGAGTTTCAAGCTGCCCTTGACATAGCCAGAGAGGTTCTCACACAGGGTCCCAAAGCCTGATATGATGGAACGTCCTGATGTGTTAGCTTTGTGCATCTTTCGAAGGCAGTAGAAGTCCCCTACATGGGAATTGTGCGGAATGAGAGTGCTTATGGTACTCTGAAGAACTGGATCAAAAGTCTTGACCAGTCTGCACAGTTGCCGGGTGTGTCCTTTGGTCGGATCGGCAGGTAGTTGTCTGTATTGTTCCTGGTTGTTCAGCTGTTGGTATGCTCCCCTTGCAGTAGCCCGTTCTGTTCTGTATGAAGTTGGCTCTTCCTTTGTCATCAAGCCAGCAGACAATGTTGTGATTGGTCTTGAGGGCACGAATAACATTACGTTGTGCCTGGGTGATGGTGTGTGCTACCTTGTGAGTGCACATGATAAATCTGGCGTTCATGCTTTCTCTGATGGATTGAGCATGCCTGTCAAGCCCCAGGCAATGGCCCTCTGGAGGGGTTCAATGTGAGTCCTTCTTTGCCCACTCCCCAATGCATCTCTCTATCGACTGATTCGGTTCATTGGTTGTCTCATTGGGCTCGCTGCTGACATCTTGAAGAAATCCTGGACTCTCATTCGTCTGATGAATTCCTTTGTTTCTGCCACGGGACCAATGGGGTCCATTTTGGTGTTGGGGCAGAAATTGGGTCTTCGGCTGAGAACTTCGATCTCATCCGGTTGAAGGGCGTTAGCCCACTGGATAACCTCATGATGCTGTACTTTTCTAGCTTCCACTCTAAACATATTAAAACAGCCCTACAGAAACTCTTCGGATAAGGAGGAATGAGACAGATACCTGGGGGTGTTGAAGGACATCCTCATAGGAGCAGGATACGATGCTCAACTCATTGATCACCAGTTCTGATGTGCCAGAGCGAAAAACTGTAATGACCACCTCAAAAGACAGACATGGGATACATCCGATAGGGTATCCTCTGCTGTCCAGTACTTTCAGGGAGTGGAGAAATTGCACCATGTTCTTTGCAGTCTTCAGCACATTGTTGATGACGATGAGCACCTCGCCAAGATCTTCCCCATGCCCCCACTTCTCACCTTCAAACAACCACCAAACCTTAAACAGACCATTGATCGCAGCAAACTACCCAGTCTTCAGGACAACGTCGACCACACTATCAAGCCCTGTCATGGTAACCTCTGCAAGACATGCCAGATCTTCGACATGGACACTACTGTCACACGTGGGACCACCCACCACGTACACGGCAGATGCTCATGTGACTTGGTCAACGTTGTCTATCCATTACGCTGTAGGTAAGGATGCCCTGAGGCATAGTATTCTGGAGAGACCATGCAGCCACTATGACAACGGATGAATGGATATTGCGCAACAATTGCCAGACACTGGGATGTTCGCTCCCAGTGGGGGAGCATTTTAGTGGTCAAGGACATTCAGCCTTTGATTTTCAGGTAAATGTCCTCCAAGGTGGACATCAGGATACACAACAACGCAGAGTCACTGAGCAGAGGCTGATAGCCAAGTTCAGTACCCATGAGGACAGCTTCAACCGGGGTCTTGGGTTCGTGTCGCACTACAGGTGACCCACCACACTGTACACTCACACACACGCGTGTACATACACACAAATCCTCTCTCATACACACAGTCTCTCAAATACACGCACACTCTCTCTCTCTCTTCCCCCCTCTCACACACCACGCATGCTCTCTTCCCCCTCCACACATATGTACACACACAAACACACATGTGAATCTATTGGGTGAATTTGTATTTGCAGATACAGTCGATTTTGTTCAAAAAGCACACAATCTATAGACAGTCAGACAACGTGGCATTTTGTAAATTTCCAGTTTAGAAACAAAAATCCATCTGACTCCAAACCAAAACACAAAACGATTCTAAACAAGGCCTCACACCTAGCATGCATTTTATGACCTTTGATATTTTACTTTTCAATTCTTTGGCTGAGGCTACCTCTCTCACTAACACCTGAAGAAGTAAGGTTCTGAAAGCTTGTGTTTTCAAATAAATCTGTTGGACTATAATCTGGTGTTCTGACATATTTATACACACAGATAAGATCACACACTTGCAGAAACTAGTGCAGACAGGCAGAAGCGCTTAAAGTAACTCATAACTGGCAGGAGTGATGGAGAACAAGAAATACCAAATCACTCCCTGTCAAATTACTCCACACACAAACTCACATACATACCCACACCTACACAACCATACGCACGGACACACACATATGGACATGTACAGGGATACACACACACACAAACTGTCAGCAGTGACCGGGAGCAGGAACTATCCGAACTGGCCCCTCCCTGACCGTGGGGAGCAGAGTTATGGTAATATCACTCGACTTGTAATCCACAGACACCACTCCTTACCCACTCTCGCCCCTATGGGAGGTGGGTCTGAATCCCAGCCCATGGGGCTCAGAGTGAAAAATGAACTCAGTAAAAAACATTTACTGAGGGGATTAGAGGTGAATTTAAACACAGCTGCTGCCGATTGGGGCTCAAATATTCGCTCGTGGGGCGAGGGGGGAACGGAAACCTGGCATCACTTCCCCGTGACACCAGCCCCTCTCAGTGACTCGGAACTGCCCCTCTGGGGCAATTGGGGACGGGACAATTGAGACCTGGAGCCGACCAGCGACAGATCCCGTAGGGTGGGGAAGGGGGAAGGTTCTGGGTACGTCTTGCCCTCCCTTTCCCCCCAGAAGGGGGTGAGCCAGTTTTAATATGGGGGGGGCAAGAGGGGTAATAAATACAGGATAACCTCAGAACTTCGACTACTCACCCACAGTTTGGGGGCCAGCGGGGAACAGGAGCAGGAGAGCGAGAGACAGGAATGCCACCTTCATCTTTGTCTCGAGATTTCAGAACAGGAGGCCCTCGGGGAGGGGCGGGCGCGGGGACTGGTTGGGAATGTCAGGGAAGGTGGGGGCGGGACACCCATTCCCCTGGGCTGATATCTTGGAATGTACAGCCTGTCCCATCTTGTGTGTGTGTGTGTGTGTGTGTCTCTCTCTCTCTCTCTCACACACACACAGGAGGTCAGAGCAATGCACTTGGCCAGCATTTATCCCCCAGTGTGATTGAAAGATGGTTAAGGGCAGACTTATCTGGCACTTTGATCCAGCGTCTGAGCTAAGAATCTTTATCACTGGAAGATCTTGAGATCGTCGCTGGATTGTGAGCAGAACTTGGAGGATCATCGGTGGAGCTGAGCTGCTATTGGTGGATATTTATGCTGGCTTTGGCCTAGTGCCAATTTAGTGACCAGCCAACCAGAGCTATGGCACAATACAGGCAGAGTGACGGTGAAGATAGTGGAGGAAGAATCGCCAGTCAACCAGACCTTTTTCGTGAAGAGAGTCCTCCTGCAGCAGATATTTTCTGTCTGCAGGGTTTTACCACCGGGGGTACTTTGACCTAACCATTTGGAGAGTGAAACAATGTAAGCATCTCCTGAAGGTATTTGAGGAGGAAAGAGGTAAGGGTCCCTCTCTGTCCTGGCTGTGGCCCCATTGTTCATTGTCCCTGCACAGAGGAGCCAAGTTGTTATATTCCATACGGACAACCCCCATATACTGGCAGATGTCCTGATGTTCCTGGGAAGGTACGTACAGGTAGAAGAAGGCAGCACCGATGTAGTGGACCCCTTCAGAATCTAGACCAGCAGGTGGCAGGTCAAGGTGACCCTGGAGGTGGATGTCAGAGGGCGCATCCTCCACCACCATCCAGCTTTGCGATCTGAGGGGAGCTGAGGTTACCTGATGTAGACGGGGCAGCCGAGAGTGTGCCGAACCTATGAACTGCAAACAGGAAGGGCCATCCGATTAAGGACTGCAAGGAGTCCCAGAGCTGCAAACTGTGTGGGGAAACAGGCCACCTGAACAAGGCGTCCCTAAGAAAGGCAGGGTGTGTGTTGGGGGGGGCACATACACTCAGATGGCCAGAAGTGGCAATGCCAGCCCTAAAGGACAAGAAAATGCCACCGTCCAGCAAGAAAAGTTAAAAAGGGGCACCCAGAAGGAGGGGCAGGCCGGAGAGGAGGAAAAGCTAGCCAGCGCAGAGGCACAGCAACCAACCAAACCTCCAGCTGAATAGCCGGAGTCAGTGGAAGAGCAGGAGATGAAGGAGGTGAGGGAGTGGACACCGGTGAGAAACAACTGGAAAAGGAAAACACCACAGGCCCACAGCAAAATGGAAAGAGGCAGCTGCACAATTGACACACCAGTAGCTCCTCTGATGATGACATGCAGAGGGATGGCCACCAACAGAAAAAGAAGCACAGCACCATGGGGCAGAAAGAGAGGTGCACTGCCCAACCCGGAAACACTGGACTTTCCGAGCGGCCCAGTGAAGCCCAACCTCACAACCGTTGGGAATCAGGGGGTGTCCACCGCACCACAGCTCTGGGCAGCTGGGAGCAGCAACGCTCCGAATCAGGAGTAGACCACGACGGCCCCTCTGTCAGACTCAGAACCTGACCCCTTCCCACCCCGGTTTTGTTCTCACCGCGACATCACTGGAGCAGGACAAACCCCACCCCAGCCAAAGGGTTGGCCAGGACAGACAACTCAGTGCTGAGTATGTCCACCAGCTCAGCCACACTGCAGAGGATGCAGGGAGTCCCCCAGTGATGAGACCGTGGGTGAACAGACATTGGGTCCTCAGGTAATTCTATAAACTCTCATAATCAGTGTTATAATTGCCGGGCGCGGCATTAAATCTACAGTGCGATGTGTTTCCACATTGATTGAGCTGGTCAATGTCAAAACAGACCTCCTGTTTCTGCAAGAGTGTGTGATACGGCACATCAGCAGCTACAGAGGTTGGTTGAGTGTATACACCCATGGGCCTTCGGTTTTGGTCAGGGGAAACGATAGCCATTCCTGCAGCCTGGGTATTCTGCTGCGAGGAGGCAGTTTCACCATCTCCAAAAGAGGTGGGTGGGCAGGCATGTCCTCGTAGCAGACATTACGTGCAGAAACGTTCCCCTAAGACTAATTAATGTGTGTGCCCCGGTGAAGAGGAGTGACCGGCTGGCCATTCTGCAGCTCCCACCCCTGCGGGCAATGTCCAGGCTGGAGACTTCAACTGCATCATCGATGCAGAGGGAAAATCCGGAGAAGCTGACTGCAAACCGGACAGCACATTCCTGATGGAAATGGTTGAAGTCGCTAAGCTGCACGACGTCTCAGCACCCCTCCTGGCGGGACACACCTGGTCACAGTCAGACAGGTCTATTCATTCAAGGATAGATTTCCTGTTTGTGTCCTGCTCATTCTCAGTCAAATCCAGCTGGCATTCTTCTCTGACTACTGCCTCCTGCTGGCCAACTGTCACCTACTGGACAACCAGCGGGCTGGCAAAGGAATGTGGAAGCTGAATGGGAAACATTTGACCCCAGAAAACATTGAGGAGCTCAAAAGGGATAACACACGTTGGAGAACCATGAAGCCCCACCTTGAGTCTCGATGTGGCTTGTGGGAAACAGTCAAGGGAACATCAATAGGTTCTTCATCCTCAAAGGCATTCAGAACGTGCGTACATGAGAGAGAGAGAAAGAGAGAGAGAGAGATGGGGAAAACTGTCCAAACTCCAAAAAAGCCATTCAGAACCTACTCCTGCTGCAGATGATTGCGGGGGGGAGAGGGGGCGCATCCAAGATAACCTTCCAGTCCAGGGTCCGCACTGTGGAGCAGGATGAGACGTGCTTGCATTCCTTCTTCCAGAAGGTTCATAGGGACAGCTGCGTGCTCAGCAGCCTGAAGGAAGAAGATGGCTCAGTAACATCATCTCAGTCTGACATCCTGAGGATCAGCAAATCCTTTTACACCAGACTGTACAACATAAAGCCCACAGACAGTGCAGGCTCCCCGTCATTCCTGTTCTCTATCACGGAGTTCTTAGACAACAGCACACAAGAGATGCTGGACCAGCCGTTCTCCCTGGATGAGCTGACCAAGGCGCTCGACTCCTTAGAAAAGAATAAAACTCCTGGAAGTGACGGCTTAACAGCCGAATTGTATTCGGCTCTGTGGGACTTGACTGGTTGGGACCTGCTGAAGCTGTACGACAGTACGCTTCTGATAGATACCATGTACGAATCCACACGGAAAGGTATCATCACCCTCATCTACAAACCGAAGGGAGAGAGGGAGGAAATTAGAATTTGGCAGCCAATATCATTGCTGAATGCAGACTAAAAAATTCTGTGCAAGGGTCAGGTCTGCTCTGGGATCAGTGATCCACCCCGGCCAAACCTGTGCTGTAGCGGGCAGGACGATCTCTGAGAGTCCCGTGCTCCTCAGGGATACAGTCACCTATGTCCAGCACAGGGGTGTGAATGCCTGCATCATCAGCTTTTGGAGAAAGGCCTTTGACAGGATATCGCACACATACAAGTGGGACGTGCTCTCCAAAATGGGCTTTGGGGAGGCAGTCTGCAATTGGATCCGACTGCTCTACACCGGCATGGTTAGCGCAGTCTCAATCAATGGGTGAGAATCAGAAAGGCTCCCGATCAGATCCGGAGTCAGGAAGGGCTGCCCACTCTCTCCTGCCTTGTTTGTGTGCTGTATCGAATCCTTTGCTGAGCCCATCAGGAAGGATGTGAGCCTGAGAGGGGTGACTATTCCAGGCAGTGGAGGCCTGCAGGTCAAAGCCTCCCTGTACATGAATGACATCACTGTTTTCTGCTCTGATCCGCTGTTAGCGCACAGACTCATGAGCATCTGCGACTGGATTGAACTGGCCTCGGGGGACAAGGTAAATCAAGGCAAGAGCATGTTCTTTGGGAAATGGGCCGATCGATCCTTTATCCCCTTCACTGTAAGGACAGATTTCCGGATGGTGCTGGGAATATGGTTCGGAGGGGCCGCGGCATGCACAAAATCTTGGGAGCAGCGCATCGCCAAAGTAAAGCAGAAGTAAAGCAGTCTTTTGGAAGTACCACTCCCTCTCCGTCAGGTGTGAGGCACTCTCTCTGTTGGTATATAACACAGGTCTGGCCCGTTCCCCGCAACTCCGCTGTTTCAGTCACCTGATCCATCTACTTCCTCAGGAAACCTAAGATAGACCAACTCTGCAGGGACTCCATGTACAAAACTCTGGATAAAGGTGGGGTGAGGACGAGAACTTACCCAACATTACCCCCATCCTGATGGCTACCTTTGTGTGCAGCTGCATCAAGCTGTGCATAGACCCTCAGTACGGAAACACGAAGTGTCACTACACACTGAGGTTCTACCTGTCCCTGGTGTTGCAGAGGATGGGACTGGCCTCGCTGCCGCGAACGCTCCAAGTATTTGGACCGTTCTGTATCACCTCAGCAGTGAATCAGAGGGCGGCTGAGAGTTATCACAGCAGAATTATTGGAGACATTGCCACAGACATCATGACTGTACAGCAGGTCAGACAGAACCTGATGTCAAGGTATGGCCAAATGTGTAACACTGCATTAATGTTTCCCACTGATCTGCCGCCCCTGACCAAAAAATAAAAGGGGGCTCTGCAAGGTAAAGGTGTACAAGGGAGCAACCATTAAGAGAGTAGGCCAGTGATAGATTGGTAATGCTGAGGCCTTTGCACAAGTGGTTTTGGTGTGAGGAGACTGAGCACGAGTGCAGATAAGGGTTCTTAAACTCTACTTTCATTCTGTCTCGACTGAAGGCAGTTAGGGCAGTGGTATGCTCCTCTTGCAGGATGTGAGAGATCAGGAAGACTTCCAGTTTCCCTGGTGGCTACACCTGCAAGAAGTGCACCTGGCTGTACCTCCGGACAGACTGCGTTAGGGAAAGGGAGCTGGAACTGGAAGCACTCAAGATCATCCAGGATGCAAAGAACCTCATTGAAAACAGCTATAGTGAAGTGGTCACTCCTAAAGTGTAGGCTGCAGGGAGCTGGGTGACCACCAGAAGAGATAAGGGGTGAAGACAGATTGTGCAGGGTTCTCCTGTGGTCATTCTCCTCAATAACAGGTAGACTGCTTTGGATGCTGTTGGGAGGTAGCAGTAGTCAGGTCAGTGGCACTGTGACCAGCTCTGAGGCTCAGAGGGAAAGGGTGCAGTCAGACAGAGCTATAATGAAAGGAGACTTATTTGTGAGGGTGACAGGCTGATTTGTGAGGCTGCAGAAGAGACACCAGGATGGTGTGTTGTGTCCCGGGTGCCAAGGTCAAGGATATCTCTGAGCAGTTGCAGAACATTCTGAAGGGGGAGGGTGAACAGCCAGAGGTCATTGTGCACATCAGTACAAATGACAGAGGTAGACAAAGGGATGGGGTCCTCTGAAATGAGTATAGGGAGTTAGGTAAGAAGTTAAAAAGCAGGACTTCAGGGGTAACGATCTCCAGATTACTCCCAGTGCCACTTGCCAGTGAGGATAGAAATAGAAAGGTAGGCCAGATGAATGCATGGCTGAGGAGCTGGTGTAGGGAGCAGGGTTTTCAGTTCTTGGATCATTGGGATCTCTTATGGGGTAGAGGTGACCTGTACAAGAGGGAAGATTGCACTTGAACAGGAGGGGGTCCAATATTCTCGAGGGGAGATTTGCTAGTGTTACCCGGGAGGGCTTTTTCCCAGTCACTGGGAAGAGACTCTGAATAACAGAAGGGCCATCGAGAATTCAGGGGAAAATACATTAGCCATTGAGACCAAGTTCACTATTCAGGATAGACAGGGCCAAAGTAAAGGGAGGGGTAAAGACTTCTGGTTTAAAGTGCATTTATTTCAACACACAAGGCCTAACTGTTAAGGCAGATGAGCTCAGAGGATGGATTGTCATTGGGGATTGGGATATTGTAGCCATAACAGAAACATGGGTGAGAGCAGGTAGCTCAATGTTCTAGGGTACGGAAGTTACAGGTGTGACAGAAGTACAAGTAAACAAGAAGGGGGAGTTGTCCTTTTGTTTTCAAAAGGGAGGACATAACAACAGTGCTTAGAGAGGATATTCTTAAGGGGTCAGCAAATGAGGCCGTATGGTTAGAACTTTGAAACAAGAACAGGATGGTCACTCTGTTGGGACTGTATTGTAGATCTCCAAATAGCCAGCGGGTACTAGAGGAGCAGATGTGTAGAGGGATTGCAGATACCTAAAGGAATACTAGAATTGTATTGGTTGGAGATTTTAATTTCCCCTATATTGACAGGGCCACCAGTGTGTAAAAGAGTGGAATTTGTCAAATGTGTCCAGAAAGTTTTCAAAATCAATATGTAGAGAGCCCTACTCGAGACGGTGCAAGACTGGACCTCCTCTTAGGAAATGAGGTCAGGCAAGTGACGAAGTGTCAGTCAGAGAACACTTTGGGTCCAGTGACATAACTCTCTTAGTTTTAACATAGTTAATGGAAAAAGATAGGGTTGGTCCACAAGTTAAGGTGCTAAACTGGAGTAGGGCCAATATTGGGACCATTAAGCAGGATCTAGTGGATGTTGATTGGGTGAGTCTGTTTGAAGGAAAAGGAACGTCTGACATGGGAGGCTTTTAAAACTGTGATATCAAAAGTCTAGGGACAGTATGTCCCTGTTAGGGTGAAGGGAAAAGCTGGCAGGTTTAGGGATCCTGGCTGATGAGTGATATCATTGCTCTGGTGAGGAAAAAGAAGAAGGCATACATTATGTTTAAGCTGTCAGGCTCAAGTGAATCCCTAGATGACTATAAAAAGTGTAGGTGCGCATTTCAAAGGCAGATAAGGTTAAAGGTAATCCCAAGAGGTTTTGGGGATTTATTATATTAAGAGTAAAAGGATGACTAGGGGAGAATAGGTCCCCTTAAAGATCAGCATGGCTATCTATGTGTGGAGCCACAGGAGCTGGGGGAGATTTTTACTGAGGAGAGAACTATGGATGCTACGGAAATATGGGAAACCAGTAGGGATGTTTTGGACTGCATACACATTACCAGAGAGGAGGTGTTTGCAGCCTTAAAGCACATTGAGGTGGATGAATCCCCTGGGCCTGATCAAGTCCATCCTAGAACATTGTGGGAGGCTAGGGAAGAAATTGCAGAGGCCATTGTAGAGAAGTTCCGGAAGACTGGAAGTTGGCTAATGTTGTTTCATTGTTTAAGAAAGGTAGCAAAGGCAAGCCAGGGGACTACAGGCCAGTGAGCCTGACATCAGTGGTAAGCAAGCTATTGGGGAGGATACTGAGGGACAGGATCAATCAACTATTGGATAGTCAAGTCTGATAAAGTCAGAATGGATTTGTGCGCAGGAAGTTATGTCTGACAATTCTTTTAAACTTTTTTGAAGAGGTAACCAAGAGGATAGATGGGGGTAGGGCAGTGGATGTTGTCTGTATGGACTTCAGTAAGGCCTTTGACAAGGTCCCACATGACAGGCTAATCATGAAGGTTAGGTCGCATAGGATCCAGGGAGAGCTAGCTAACTGGATTCCAAATTGGCTCGATGGTAGGAAGCAAAGATTGATGGTTGAAGGTTGTTTCTTGGACTGGAGGCCTGTGACTAATAGAGTGCCACAGGTGTTGGCGCTGGGACCTTTATTATTCGTTATTTACATAAATGATCTGGATGTGAATGTACAAGGCATGATTAGTAAGTTTGTGGATGATACAAAATTAAGAGGTATCGTTGAGAGTGAAGAAGGTTATCAAAAATTACAGAGGGATCTTGATCAGATGAGGAAGTGCGTGGAGGATTGGCAAATGCAATTCAATACAAATAAGAGTGAGGTGTTGCGTTTTGGAAAGTTAAATCAAGGTAGGACTTATATAGTAAATGGTAAGGTCCTGAGGAGTGTTGTGGAACAGAGGGACCTAGGAGTACAAGTACGTAGTTCGTTGAAAACGGTGTCACAGCTGGACAGGGTGGTGAAGAAGACATTTAGCATGCTGGCCTTCATCAGTCGAGGCATTGAGTGTAGGAGTTGGGATGTTATGTTACAGTTGGTGTATAAGTCGTTGGTGAGGCCGCACTTGAAGTATTGTGTACAGTTTTAGTCACCCTGTTATAGGAAAGACATAATTAAACTGGAAAGTGTGCAAAGAAGATTTACGAGGATGTTGCCAGGACTAGAAGACCTGAGTTAAAGGGAGAGGTTGACCGGGATAGGACTTTATTCCTTGGAACACAGGAGAATGAGGGGTGACCTTATTGAGGTGTATAAAATCAAGACGGGCATAGATAGGATGAATGCATATTTTGTTTTTCCCAGGGGTGGGGAATTGAAAACTAGAGGGTGTAGGTTTCAGGTGAGAGGGGAAAGATTTAAGAATGACCTGAGGGGCAACTTCCTCACACAGAGAGTGGTGCGTATATGGAACGGACTGCCAGAGAAAGTGGTTGAGGCAGGTACAATAGCAAAATTTAAAAATCATTTGGATGAGTACATGGATGCGAAGGGTTTAGAGGGATAGGGACCAAATGCAGGCAATTGGAACTAGCTGAGTGGGCACCACAGTCAGCATGGACCAGTTTGGGCTGAAGGGCCTGTTTTCATGCTGTATTACTCTATGACTCTATGACCTGTCGTTCATGGGTAAATTTGCAAAAAAAAACACCTTTGACCACAAGTCCATCAGGAAGTGGTCAGTACACAGTGTCCTCGAGACCCTGTGGGAAAAGGAGAGGGTGGATCCTGTTGCGTGGTTTCCTGAGCAGACTGTCAGAGTCATTTGGCAGAATGCCTCATCACCAAAACTTTTCAACAAGCACCAAGATATCACTTGGCTGGTGGTGCAAAGGGCACTACATGTGAGATCCTGTACGTATGCCCGGTCAGCCTGTGCCACTGCATGCTGCCATCGAAGTGGCTGTGGGGTTGTTGACACTGTAACGCATCTTCTGGAATGTGCCTTTGTAAATGAAGTCTGGAAGGAGGTGAAGTGGTTTGTGTCAAGGTTTGTTCTGAGCAGCTCCGTGATGCGGGACTCTGTGTTACACAGTCTGTTCCCCG